TATGTTAAGGTAGCCTTTTCACAATACTGAAATATGGTAAACTTCACAGCTTATAAAAAAAACAAAAAAAAGAGCACGATTTTGAGATTTCCTGTGTCAGTAACCACCCCATGTGTCCTATTATCTACAATCATATGTGTTATAACTCTTTGCATTATCATGCCTACTCACATAGTCCTTGCTGGGGCACAAGCATTAAGAGTGGGGAGATGAGAAAGGTGCTTCGGGAACTCAGAGTGGGTTAGAGGATTCAGACAGATATCTGGGCCCTTCAAAACGCAAGGATAAAATTTACTTATGGAAAACATAGTTACACCAATCCATAAGGATTTTTCTCTTTTGTCCCTATCCTCTTACTATATCATAGTTCAGAGGAGAGACTATAAGTAGCTCTTTAATTCCACACTACATCATAGTTCAGAGGAGAGACTATCAGTAGCTCTTTAACTCCACTGCATCCTCAGTGTGTTGTAAGAGACCACTTGTTTGTTCCTGGCTGTTCAGCCACAAAATAATCACACAGAAACCATATTATTTGCAATACTCTTTGGCCAATAGATTAAGCATATTTCTGGCTAACAGATATCTTAAAATAACCATTAATCTGTGTTGCCATGAGGCTGTTCCTTACCGAGTGAAGTTCCAGCATCTGTATGTGGTGGAGTTACATGGCTTCTGTTGACTCCACTGTAGTTTACTTTTAGTTTTCCCCACCTAGCTCTGCTCTACCCTATCACAGGCTTAAAACTGCTTCCTCATTAACCAGTGGTATTCATAGGATACAGAGGGCAATCCCACATTATCTCTGGAGTCAGAAGATTCAGCTTATCCTCCTCAAAACACTCTTCCTTTTAATGGCTTCTGTTTGCTTCTGGTGAGTAGGCTGATTTAGTTAAGGATGACCCAGAACTAACTATGTAGACGAGACTGGCTTGGGCCCTTGATTCTCCTCCCTCCAAACTGTGAGTTCTGTGATTACAAAGTGAGCCACTGAATGCAGCACCAACTTTGGTCATGACAAACAGGGTACTAAGCAAAGACCTGCAATGTTCGAAGCCACCAGCTGTCTGAATACCTGACTAAATAAGCATCAAACAGTATATAAATAAATAATATAAACTCTAGTGGTATGACTTAAGTGAAAAAATAATCAGCAAATAGTTATTAGGTAGATAGGATGGCACTGTTCACAATTGTTACAAGATTATAATGTATAAACAGAAGTTTCTGTCCCTCCTGGTCCCACAGTCATTCAGTCTCAAAGAAGCACAGAGAAGCTTATATTAATTTTAAAATATTTGGTCTTTTAGCTCAGTGTTATTATTAACTAGCTCTTACAGCTTAAATTAACCTAATATAGGAAGTCATACAGCCAGTAGTTACCCTACCACTAGAGTGTGCCTTCTTATAAGATTTATGCCAATGTAGAATATGCATCCTGCCTCTTTTCCAGCTGCAGGATACAGTTTCTGATCTGTGTTCCAGCAGAGGATTCTGATTTGTGAGTCTACCCCTAAATAAATAACCGTCTAGTTCTCAATTCTGACCTAGTGTGGGATTTCGTCTAAGTATCGTTCTTCATCTGGAACCCATGTGGATTTAGACTACACACCTACCGGGTAGATGGCCTAGCCAGTCCATGGCCCAGACAGTCTCCCAACCCTGCCCACTTGGCTTGCTTTTACCTAAGCAGTTATTTGTAAAACTCCCACCACAGTGGCATTTAATGTGTGGCAACTTGGACATTTCCCAAGCACATGCACAACTGTCACATTCCCTGGCATGGTTTTCTGGCATGGTTCCTTGCCGCTTGGTGACTTGTGTAACTTTTGGTTTCTGCTCTCTACCCATGTGATCTAGGTTTCTTGTTCCATGTATGGAATTGATTTACTTGCTTTTAGTTTGTCGAGCAAAGCAATTTCCCAGTATTTAACCATTACCAAGGTGGGAAACTAATGTGGCTTGGAAACTAAAGCAGCTTAGGATCATTCCTGTCACCACCGTGACTCTGCAAATACATCAGCTGGACAATAAAGATTGCAGTTAAATGGATCACACAACAGGTAATTAATAAATCAATATGTCAGACTACATTAATATTGAAACTTTTAGTAACTTTTTTTGCTAAAACTATGGATTTTATTATGCAAGGCTGACATGGTTATGGTGATACTTCAATTTATTGGGTATTGGGACTCAGGATTTTCCTTCATATTCTATTATGAATGAAGAATATGACACTTTTAGGAATGATCCAGTATTGACAGATTAATAATGAACAACTAGTTGACAGCATTAATACCATCAAAAATCAAAAGTTACCTGAAAAAATTAATACTATTAAAAAGTCTAACATTAATTTGACAGACAAAATTGAATCCATATCTAAGGGTACTAAGAACTTATCTGAAATAATTCATACTGCTGATTTTGATTATCAAAATTTGTTAAAAAGTTATGATAAGTTAGCAGATAGTGTATCTCTCCAGGAAATCAATCTGCACACTATTCAAGTATTCATTCATGTCCAAGAATGAGATGTTATCTTTAAAGGAGAAACTTCAGACCTTGGAATTCACATGTGCAGAATGAGGACCAGAGACTAGGTGCCTCAATGAAATTACTAGAAATATATATATAGGCCAGGAAATTCAAGCTTTACAAAAGACAATAGTAAAAAGCTTTGAAATAATTGAGGAAATTATTGGAGCTGAGGAACAGGGAAAAAAGGACGAAGGACAGGATTCAACATTGCTAGTAGCTGTCAGAGATGACTTACCCAGGGTTTTAGCTTCCTACCCTGTAAACTACTCTCAAAAAACATCAAGTTCTAAAGGACTAAAACAATCCAAAGAAGGTAAATGGATACCTATAGGAATGATTGATCTAAATGAAGTTAAGCAAGCTGTTGTAACATATGGGAGATGATAAAGACATGGTCTTCTAGCATCAAAGCAATGCCACATGATTTGATTCAGTTAGTTTCAGCAGTCCTGGATGATGGGCCTCAATTAATGTTTAGAATTTATTTCAGAGAAGAAGAGGGACAAAGAGTACTCTCCCATGCTGCAGAGAAAATAACATAATGTAAGCCATATGAAACATTCTAAAAGTCCTTTGTTAACTGAATTTTTACATAACACAAGGATTCTGATATCAGAGTTCTAGATGATTACCAAAAAGAATTAAATATATATTCATACAGTGATGAGCAAAAATTAGCATAAGAAGTTTATTAATAATGGTTAAAACTTAGAAACACACCATGTATGGATGTGTGAATGACAAAATATTGCAGAAAATTTGAGTAATAGAAAGTGTTTAGTAACGAAAACAATGAATCACTAACCCCTGAAATAAGATTGAGTTAGATAAATAAAAATAATAAAAATTATAATAATAACAATAAAAGATGCAAAAATATGGAGCCAATCACAAATTTTTACTTAGTTTATGAAACTATGGAATGCTTAATTAATTTACAGTACAAGGGAACATACATCTGCTTACCTGGGCATAGGTTGAAAGGCCAAGGATTACAAAATAACTTTGGGTGGTAAAAGTAATTTTCCTGTTAAGTTTTTATTGTTATCTTAGGGTTTCTATTGCTACAATGAAACACCATGACCAAAACACTTTGGGAGGAAAGAAATTGTTTTGCTAACATTTCAAATAGCAGTCCATCAATGAAGGAAGTCAAGGCAGGCACTAAAACCTGGCAGGGGCCAGGAGGCAGAAGCTGACACAGAGACCACGTAGAAATGCTGGTTACTGAAAGCTCCCCATAGTTTGCTCAGCTTCCTTTCTTATGGAATTTAGGAACACTAGTCCCAGGACAGAATCACTCACAACCTGGTGGGACCCTCCCATCAATCACTAATCCAGAAAATTCCCTATGGGTTTGCATACAGCCAGATCTTCTTGAGGCACTTTCTCAAGTGAGATTCCTCCCCCCCGCCTCAGATCCACCTAACTTGTGTCAAGTTGACATACAATGAGTCTACACAATTGTTTTTAAAGAGCTGTACATAGTTTGTAATATTCACATTTCACGTGACTTAAACTGAGTGCATTTTGTTACATATATACTACAAGATAAATTTTGATAATTTTTAATGACAAGATAAAAACCAGACATCACAACTCAATAACAACTTTATATCTAAAGGACATTACAAGTGCAAGCATAGATGATAGTGAACATGAGCAAATATTGACAGTGATGTGATGTAGAAAACTGACAAATATGAATATGGGTTATAGAATAGATCATATTACTTGATAAATACTAAATATCTTAAGCTTTATAGTTTTAGTATGATGCTAAAAATGCTTGTCTCTAGAAAATATTTAAGTTTAGTGTTATTATTACCATCAACATTATTATTTTTATTCATGAGAAGTCTCACTCTGTAGCCCTTAACTACCTCAAACCTACTATGCAGTCTAGGTTGTACCCAAACTCATGTACCTGAAAGAAACTGAGTTTGAGTCATAACATCCAGTTGCCCTCAACTAATGTTACTGTATCTATGTGATCCCAACTTATAAGCGGGATAGAAAGAAAGAGAGAGGGAAAGAGAGAAAGAGACAGAGACACAGACACAGACAGAGACAGAGTGAAAGAGAGAGAGAGAGGGTGAGAACACATAAGGACTATAGATGGGTGTATGAGCTCCTTAAACTCTCCAGGCCACTATTTGTCAAATCTGGAATTATTTTACAGCAAAGAAATGTTTATTTAAAATAAATTCTACATTTAAAAATAACAAGCAATAATCAAACAGCTAACAAACAGAAATCCACAATTGCATCCTACTTCTTAATTGTGATGCCAGAACAGTGAGAATAAAAATGGATTATCCTAGTGAGAAGAAGATGTGTGCCTTGTTTTTTTAAGTTTCCATATTTGGATTCATATCTCATTCAGGAAACAAAGAAAATGATTTCTCAGAGCTTGGATCAAGTGACATTTATTCTCCAGATATAAGCTGTCATGTTTAAATGAAGTGAGATGGCTTCTGCTGTGTTAAGTTAGGTTTCAGAAGAATATTGCTTCACTTTTTCATCCAATAATCTGTTTGCTCAGGTGACCGAGTCCTGTGGTTAAGACACTAGTCATTAAGTAGTCTTGACTCATCATATGAAACTAAGAAAGATAACAAAAGTTCCAATTTTACTTTTCCTCCCTACTGCACACTAAGTGAGGGAATTTATCATATCTGTTTTCACAGATGCAGGGGTAGATTCTCCCACAGTCATAGGGATTTATGCCTTTAAAACTGAAAGTTGCACAGCCTCCACTTCTCTGTAATGATTTCACTGTCATCAAATCACTGTAAAACAAAACATATAATTGGTAATTATTAAAATTTGAAGCATATATTGATATAGTCAATGATTTTAAAAATAAAGTTTATTGGCCAAATTATAGTATATAGAATCAACTGTAGGAATTTTACTAAAGGTTTTTTGTTTTTTATAAACTCATGAAAAATGATCTTAGGCTGAGTGAATGAAAGCCATTGTTATCAAGCCTGACTACCAGAACTTAGCCCTGAGATACCACACAGTAGAAGCAGAGAAGTGACTTCTCTGACTGTCTTCTAACTACAGATGTGCTGTAACATGATCACACAAATGCACATACATTCACATAAAAAGTAATAAAAAGCAAACATAAAAATCATTTCTTAATCATAATTCTACTCTTTATATATTCCACACTGTTAACTTTTTATCATGAACTAAAATTAAGTTTTAGGATCACTACAACATAATTTTGCACTAAAGTTCAATAAAGACATTTAGACGCACGCTTTTAATCCCAGCACTCAGGAGGCAGAGGCAGTCGGATCTCTGTGAGTTCGAGAGCAGCCTAGTCTACAGAGCTAGTTCCAGGACAGGCTCTAAAGCCACAGAGAAACCCTGCCTTGAAAAAACAAATAATAATAATAATAATGACATTTAGAGAACAAGGAAAAATTAATGACAAAAGGACAAGGCGTCATGGCCTGAGCAACACAGAGTTTTAAGCAGGCTAGCCTGATGAGAATGTGTGTCAAAGAATAACTGAAAGAGACTGAAATCTACAGAACTCTATGGAGCTGTGAGGACAAGCTAATAAATTATTCAGCAAAAGATTATCTTCCTTGAGCCACAGATTTAATCTAGGTGGGAAAAGAGGATTTAGATTTGCCCTGGGAATGGAAAAAAAATAGATGAAACTACATGACCTATGAATCATAGGACAGGTAAGCTACAGTAGGAGTGAACAAAAAAGTTAGTTAGCTAGGAGGTATGATTATGGATGATGTCAGTAAAGTATATTTGTTGAACATGGTCAAAGAGGAAAAGACCCAGTAGACATTTTGTATTCACAAGACACACGTGGAGCACATGTTCTGCATCATGAGCTCTTTCTTTACCTCTATGACCACTAGCCAAGAAACACAAGTTAATCTCACAGCTTCTCACTAGGTTTATTAGAAAATGACATTTATACAGGTGTCCAGGCTACTGCATATTTCCATTAGTGATAGTGCTTATGGAAGTCACAGAAACCTTCTGAATACTAGATTTCCTCACTGAAGCATCATGTCCTGCCCTAGTTACCACACCACCATTTGCAGATAGACACTAAAACAAAATCTCACACTAGCTCAGAATTGAGATAATAAAGGGTTATTTATTTAGGGGTAGACCCACAGATCACAGTCCTCTGATCGAATGGGAAACAGGAGTCTTATCCAGCAGCCAGAAGAGAGAGTAACCTTGCACTTTTCATTGGCATTTATACTTTAATAGGCCAGGCCCAAAGGCTACTGGCTGTAGGAATTCCTACAGCACCCATTAGTGAACAGTTTTGCTGCATAGTCAAGGTCTACAAAGGTCTCTTAACCTGGGTACAGGCATTCTTCCAACCTCTGGCACCTCACTCTAAATATTACCATCTGCCTATTTCAGTCTGTACTGTGCTGTATGATACAAACAAATTCATTAACTCTGTGGCCATACATGGTGAACACTAATCCTCAATAAAATACTGGCAAACCGAATCCAAGAACACATTAGAAAAATTATGATGATGTAGGCTTCATCCCAGAGATGCAGGGCTGGTTCAACATATGAAAATCTATCAATGTAATCCATCATATAAATAAACTGAAAGAAAAAACCATATGATCATTTCATTAGATGCTGAAAAAGTGTTTGACAAAATCCAATATCCCATTATGATAAAGGTCTTAGAGAGATTAGGGATACAAGGGTCATACCTAAATATAATAAAAGCTATGTATAGCAACTCGACAGCTAACATCAAATTAAATGGAGAGAAACTCAAAGCCATCCCACTAAAATCAGGAACACGACAAGGCTGTCCACTCTCCATACCTTTTCAATATAGTGCTTGAAGCTCTAGCAATAGCAATAAGACATCAAAAGGGGATCAGAGGAATTCAAATTGGAAAGGAAGAAGTTAAACTTTCATTATTTGCAGATGATATAATAGTGTACATGAGTGACCCCAAAAACTCCAGCAAAGAACTCCTACAGCTGATAAACACCTTTAGTAGCGTGGCAGGATACAAGATCAATTCCAAAAAATCAGTTGCCCATCTATACACAAAGGATAAGGAAGCAGAGAGGGAAATCAGAGAAGCATCACCTTTCACGATAGCCACAAATAGCATAAAATACCTTGGGATAACTCTAACCAAGGATGTGAAGGATCTATTTGACAAGAACTTTAAGTCCTTGAAGAAAGAAATTGAGGAGGATACCAGAAAATGGAAGGATCTCCCTTACTCATGAATAGGGAGGATAAACATAATAAAAATGGCAATTCTACCAAAAGCAATATATAGATTCAATGCAATCACCATTAAAATCCCATCGAAATTCTTCACAGATCTTGAGAGGACATTAATCAACTTTATATGGAAAAACAAAAAACCCAGGATAGCCAAAACAATCTTATACAATAAAGGAACTTCTGGAGGCATTACCATCCCTGACTTCAAACTCAATTTTATCCCTTGAGAGGTATAGATAGGAATAGCAGAGCTATCATTTATGGAGGGACGCTTCATAGAGAAAAAAAAAACAAAATTAATAACAATGATTTTAATCTATTTGCTTTAAACATATCAATACACCCTATAAGGCCATTAGTTTTCTGACAAACTCTGTTACAGCCTAGCCACTGTTGTGACAGCTTGGCCCCATCTGTAACAGCCTGTTTGAGAGAGTCCTTGAAGAAAAGAAAGGAAGCTATTTTCCTGCATATTTGGAACCTAACTCTCACTCTGTTGGGGCCACATTTAGAACTGAAGTGAGCCAGACCTGGCATGTTTCTAGACACTGAATGAAAGGTTCCTGAGAAAGTTACCACTGTGGAATCTACTGTGCTTCAGATAGTTTCTGCAGCTGCTGAATAGAAACTCTGGAAATATCACAAAGGAAATGACATCAAGAACAAAATCCACAGAAACAGTACATTAAACCTAAAGAACTTCAGACACTAGGATTACCACCTAATGTGTGTAAAATAAGTATGGTGGATATCTTTAAATAGAAAAGGGACAGGACAGGCACTTGTAGTCCCAGCAACTGAGAGATGGACATATAAGGATTAGGTTTTCATGGCAAGTTTTGATGACATGAACATCTATTAAAAACAAAAAATAAAAATAAAAATGATTTTTAGATGATATAAAAGCCAACTTAAATGTATAACTAATTATTAAAGTTATTTATGGAAAAACAAAGATTTCCTAGGGGAGAAATTTCAGTATTTTATACTAAAAGCATCAGTAAGTAGGAGGAAAGATAAGTATGTGATATGAAAATAGAGGGGAATTTTCTGAGGATTAAGGAAACAAATAGGAATACTACGGGGGGTATAAAGGATGGAAGAATCAGGGGTAGAATCAACCAAACTAAAGATGTACAAAATGCCTATGGATACCCACTTGTTAGTAAGCTTGTAGCTGACCAACATAAAACAAACTCCACATTTCTATGGTGGTTCAGGGTTTTTTTTTTTCATTTTTTTTGCATGCATTTGTTATTTGTCTTTTTTCTCTGATTAGGTTTTTTTTTTTGCTTTATTTGATTTTCATTTTTGTTTTTATTTTCGGAATAAAGAGAGAGAAAGAACATTAACTTAGGGGGATAGGTAGGTGTGGAGAATCTGGGAGGTCTTAGAGGTGGGAAATCTGATCAAAATATATTCTCCTGAAAATATAATTTAAAATCAAAATGTAACTATATAAAAGACAGTCATAGAGAACATGAGTTTTAAATGAAAATCAAAGTACAAGGCAGGAATTACTGGTCAGAGAGATCACAGATATGTCCAAAACAATACAGGCCATTGCTGCTGTTCTTGGTGATCCAACATAATTAAATGGTAAGACCCTAATACAAACAAACAAAATGAAACAAACAAACAAAAACAGCACACACTTTGACATCAGGACTTAGATAAATCAATCTCAAGCCAATCAAGAAGCATCTTCTCTTGAGCAAGCATTCAAATGGTCAGAAAGTGCTTTGCAGGCTTCAGAGGGAGAAAAAATATGAATGTCTTACCCAGTGCTGGACCCTACATGTCACAATTCTGACCTGCAAGGCAAGATGTGCCCCCATGGAATTATCATTATAGAATGAGTAATTGCTTTCTTATTGGCCCTTTGGTCTTTAACACATTAGAGATATAATGTTCAGCATTCAGTATTGTAATCTAAATGAAAAGCTCATATTGGGGAGGTCACACAATTGCATTGCTAAGTGGTCAAATGGTCAAATTGCAGCTCCGATATTTCAGTTTATGCCCTAAAGCAGGACTTCTCTCAACCTTCCTCAGAGAAGCTTCTTTATATAGTGGGCAGTACGGAGTGGCAGAACTGCTCAAAGTGTGGAATAGGTGAGAAAATGTGCATAGATCTATGGCGATGTATTCATCAATCTCCTCCTGGCAACCACAAATACTCAGGCAATATCAGTGAAGAGGAAGTGGAAAAATTTAAGAACCAGCTGATGTTGAAAAGCTCTGTGAAATGCTGCCTTCTGGACTTTACATGACTATGAAATCACAAACTCAGCATTTGTGGTTGTCTATATGCAACCTGCACAGGGTTAAGCCAGCTAAAATTACAGTATAGATGGGGAGCTGCTCTTTACCCTTTAGTGAATCATTATTGTTAGCTGAAAGCTGTTGGAAATGGAAGACTCACTCTTTATTGGGAGTGTGGCTACTGCTTGGGTTGCTTGCTCCAGTGATTGTTCTATAACCATACAACAATGTACAGTATTAATCAAGAAAACTTGAGTTACAGGTGACTACTTTAGTGTTCGGTCAGGGAAAGGTTGAGAGGGCAAGCAGGGGATGAATATGACCAAATTTCATTCTGTATATTATAATATTTTCAATAAATATTATTAAGAAAATTAATGAGAAGCATTCTACTAGAATGAAAATAACCTTTGATCTCATTATACACTATAACACTTTGAAATGGAAATTATACATTAACACATTCTTATATTTATAAATAATAAACAATTATATACACTAACTACAAAAAAGTCAAGGGAAAGTTTTAGATACTCATACTCATTGTATCTGTCAGCATGATCCAAACATATCATGTCTTCTTAAGCTTTTTATTTGCTTCTGATCTGCACATCATAGAACATACAGTCCTAATGAGTGTTCAGTATTACACTACCATCAGTCATCCTCTAGACCATTCCTCTTACCTGTCTAACGCTTGATCAAAATATGTGATATGCATGTTGTTCTTACACATGAGTTCCACAGAAAATGAGCAAAGCCTTGTAAAATGAGAGAAATGCCTTTGCCCACATTTAAACAGGTGTTTCAGGAGGACTACTTGTTCATTCTTGCTGCTTAGGTCCGAAATAATCACATAGAAACTGTATTAATTAAATCACTGCCTTGACCATTAGCTCTAGCTTCTTATTGACTAACTCTTATATTAATTTAACCCATTTCTATTAATCTGTTTATTGCCCTGTGACAGGGGCTGCTTACCAGCTAAAGTTTGCAGCATCTGTCTCCAGTGGCTCCATGACTTTTCTCTGACTCTGCCCTTATTTATCCCAGCATACAGCGTAGCTTCCTCTGCCTAGTTATATTCTTCCCTACCATAGCCTCAGAGCAGTTCTTTAGTCATTAACCAATAAAAGCAACATATAAACATAAGAACCTCCCACATCATTTCCTCTTTTCTGTTTAAACAAAAAGGAAGACTTTAACTTTAACATAGTAAAATTACATACAACAAAACAGTTATCAAGCAAGAATTATAGTTATAATATTTATATCTATTTTATCTTTTATACTAACTAAGGAAAACTATAAGTTCTTCAACTCCATCAATGACTCCAAAAGAATATAATATTACCTAAGTAAACAATAAGTTCATTGTAAGCAACTTTCAAAACACTAGAATTGACAGTGTTTTGACATCTCACTACCTGGACAGTCACCCAAAGTTCTTCTGTATTGTTGGGACATCCATCTTCGGCCTACTAGCTCATAGTATCCAGGAGACTTTTCCATGATGCAGGAAATTTCAAAGACATTTGCACCTATATTGGCAGTTTGTCATTTTCTTCTGTGTCCTGTAGAATGTCTAGCAGACTCTTTTATGAAGCAGGAACTCCAAAGGACGATCCCACCTTTAGACAAGTTGAACAGTCATCTCTCTATGGGTCTTGCATGTCCAGTTTATCAAGAAGTCCAGGAAAAAGCAGTTTCTTGCCCAAATGGCTAACCAACTTCATAAGGAGCCTCTTCAATGCCCATATTCCTTTTGAAGTACATTGTGCTGCCAGAAGCAGATGTGTCTCATTGTCATGCAAAGTCTTAAGTTCTTAAAACTTTTTATATGCCATATTCCGTAGTCTTTGAAAGGTTTGAAGAACACATATTTATCTGAAATACATCTCTGTATATCTATAAAACCTAATTAACATGACTACAAGCTTGACTATTATAAATGATTATCTATTAACTTATACTTCCTAATTATGCATTACATTTTTAAATGAGCTACACAAACACAATACCTTAATCAAGATCAGAAATACATAAACATATAAAAAATTGACCATAAATTTGAGTCAATAAATCTAGAACCATACCAATGCAAATTATTCATATCAATATCAAACAGGGACTGTGCTTTCATTTCTCAGATGCCCAGACACAATCTCACAGAAACTATATTAATTATAATACTTGTTTGGTAATGTCTTAGACTTTGTACTGATTAGATCTATTAAATTAATGCATTTCTATTTGCCTGTGTATTGCCAGAAGGCTATGGGTTACTGTTGCAGCATTTTACTCCTTCAGCAGCTACATGGCATCTCTTTCTATCTCTGTTCAGATTTCCCACATGGCTTTACTCTGGTAAGCCACTGACCAAAATATCATTACTCATAACTAATAAAGGCAATACATATAGAAGAGGACATCCTATATCACCCACAATCCTCCCAACTCATATACCACTGTTAGAGTGTGAGTGTTCAGGAAACTCACAGGTTAGATGTGCCATTGTCAATCCATTGCCATTTGATATTTCTTGCACTATACGACAATCCAATCCAGTGATTGTTTGGAACAACTTTGTCCTGAAGGAACTTCTATAAAGGAAAAAACATATCTGATGATAAAATTTCTACTGTTTCAGAGAAAGAACAACATAATACATCTTAGGTATTTTTATGTCAGTTCTCTGTTGTCCTTTCCTCCAATCTATAGACGTTCATTTTTAAAGTAATATCTCACTAGTGGCTAATTTATGCCAAACCGATCAATTGCATAATTTGTTTTTAAAAGAAATCAGGTATCTAAAGATAATGGATTCATGAAATGATTTGTGACTGTGTTTCTTAGAGAAAGTCTCACTGTGTAGCCAAGGCTGTGCTTGAATTCACAATTTCCCTTATTCAGACCCCTAAATGAACATGGCATACCAGCTCCACATGTAATTCTGAAATTATGAAAGTATTCAAATGCATCTTTGACTACAGTCAGTTTTTCCAATGAGACATGTTTGGATAAGGGTAGCCTAGAGGTTACAGGAGTGGCCAATCAAAGCTGGTCCACCCTTCTATCCTAAACTACCTGGAGTACCAGGACCCACTTGCTGGAGCACCAGATCCCCAGAGACCTAGGATAGAATCAGACAACTGGAGAAAAAAAAATGTCAATGTAATAATGCCTAAAATATTTAAAATACTCAAAGATTGATTCCTATCCCAATTATTTTCAGAAAGGCTTCATCCAGCAACTGATGGAAAAAGAGACTGAGACCCTCAGCCAAACATTAGACCAAGCTCCTGCTAATGAGAGGGAGAGGGAGGAACCAAAGGGATCAAGGACTTCAGAAGAAAAATCATAGAATCAATTACGCTTTACCCATGAAAGCTCACAGTGTCTGAAGAGACAATAGGGGAGCCTGCATAAGACTTACGGGATTCTTTATATGGGGCAGTTGTGTAGCTTGGTCTTCTTGTGGGACATCTGACAGTGGGAGCACGGGCTGTCTCTAACTCTGTTGCTTGGCTTTGAGACTCTATTCTTTATATTGGTTCACATTTTCCACAGAATTTTTCAAGTTTTAGATAATTTATTTGTTTTTTTTACTTCCTGTCTGCTGTTTTCCCTTTGACCTCTCCTCCCAACCTCTCCCGGCATTTCCTCCTGACTTTTACCCCCAATCCTTTACCACTCTTTTTCTGTTCAGCAAAGAGTAGGCTTTCCATGGAATCAACAAAAAAATGGGCATACCAAATTGCAGTAGGAACAGACAACCCTATCCCCTCCGTATTAGGACTGGGAAATGTGAAATGCTGTGCATTAAACTCCATGCTTCAGAGAGGAAGCCATTCTGTGGTAGAACTTGATGAGGAGATAATCTAAAAATCATATGCCAAAATATATTTAGTAATTTTGGTACATTAAATATTTCCAAATATCTTCTCTCATCATGACAAAGGCTTCAAGCTGATCCTAAAACTCTTTCTCCAGAAAAATATCCTCTGTGTATTTGGATACATTTCTTTAGTAACAAATGTAAACAGAAAATGTCAGAACATTGATCATTTTGTTCTTTTAAATACTCATTTCTAGAGATAAATATCATTTTTGAAATATGAGAATATTATAAAGTAAATATTTTGGCCAGATTCCATGAAAATCACAATGGGACTAACTAGTTAAAATCATTTATTAAATGGATCTTATATAAGTTCCATTTTGGAATTGGGCCCAGAAGTTACTTAATTTCTCGATTGTCATCTAATTGCACATTTCAGACAGTCTCACATCTGAACTCCAAGGAGCAAGCACTAAGTTCCAGGTAATGGTGTAGCTGGCACTCTGGAAATAAATAAATGTCAGTTACTGGATATTCTATACCAAAGGGTTAAACTTATTCAGGGAAAACATGATTTTCTGAGGGATTCTCTAGCAGATTCTTGAGAAAGGGAGGAGATTACAAAGATGCAGTTGTCTCTTAATATCGACTCTCTTTGTATAAAACCCTGTGTCCTGACAGTAAGGCAGGAGCAAGAGTGAGTTTCTGGGGAGACTCTTACTGCAGTTTTGGTCACATTACTGTCAAACCATATACAGTCTTGAAGGTTTTACTTTCAAAAACATGCCAGCACTCAGTATGCCACTATTCAAGGGTTAGAGACACACTCCCAGAGAATTGATTAGCATAGAAGAGTCTACGGTACCAGTTCATCATCATCGTCTATCTTCAAAAGTGACAAGCTGCAGTTTTGGCAGGTCTGTTTACATCCACTCCAGTGTTTATTGTCCATTATGAAATAACATTTTATGCCAGAGCAGAACCAGTATCCGTCAACATATTTGCCTACAACAGAGAAGGTGAATAACTAAACTTCACATTTTCTGGCATACTGTTATCAGAGAAATGCATTAAGCCTCTATAACTAAGAAAAGTATCATGGCTATCAGAAATTGAGATTCTAACATGCAGAGAGACTCCTGTACACCCATGCTTTATGCAAAGCTCTTTATATGGAAATAGCTGATGTGTCCATTGTGGATAAATCAGAACAAAAATTATAGCAGATGAACACAAAGGAATAATGTTTATCCTTGAAGGGTAAGTAAATCAGCTGGGCATGGTGGCTTATGCCCATATACTGAACACTCCAGAGAGTGAGACAGGAGGGTCACCAGCAGTTTGAAGCCAGCATAGGTTAAGTAGTGATGACTTCCATACCAGCCTTGGTGAGAAAGTAGATTCTAAGACAGCCTGGGCTACAGAGCCTCAACACCTCAACACGACCAATACAGATGAGGACCACTGTGGCAAACATAGATGAACTTGAGCATGGTGTGCAAAATGAAACAAACCAGGCCTAAGACCAAATTTTATGACTCAACTCAGATGAGTGTTCTAACACAGTCCAAGTCTAAGAAAGAGAGCTTGAGGGTGGAGAACAAACACTGGCTGTTCAAAGGTTGTTACAAGGATGACAGAATTCTATAACCCTGGGCCCACACTGGTTCACACATACTGTTCATTTAAAGTTGTGCTGTGCTCTATGTTTGATGCTCTTATTTTTAGAGTTATAAGAGACATATGAGAGAGCTTGTGAAAGTGATAGTCTGTTCTGATTATGTTGATGCATTCAATGATATGTCCACATACCCAAACATGTCAAGTTGAAAACAATGAATTGTGTCCAGTTAGTGTAACAACAAAACCTCAATACAATTATTTTGTTTATTGAGGGGATGGGAAGTTCCATGGTCAGTTAACAAACTTTATCTCCAGTCTTTGTTTTCCTATGAAGCGGTATCACTCTGTAGCTCAGGCTGGCCTGGAATTTGTTGAGCTACACAGACTGTTCTCAAATTTACAGTCCTTCTGCCTCAGCCTCCTAAGTATAGGAATTACAGTGTTAAACTATCATTTACAGATGACAAAGGTTTTTTTTTTTTTTTTAAAAATTAATGATACAAAATGGTTTTCATGGGTCTTGGATACTTCAAAGATATTTTTGGAGCTTTTTGTTTTCTTTACACATATGTTACAATATAGCAATTTTAAAGCTATCTTCTGTCCTTGCATAATAAAATTGTTAACCCTTACTACTATAGCAGAGTAAGTTCATATGCAAAAGCTCTTTGTAAACTCTAAATTCTGAACAATTATTTAATAATTATTGATCAGTTGAATCAATAAACAATAACCAGTCATGATGCAAAATAAAAAACTTTCCTCACAACACTTGATATGTGTATCTTTTAAGTGTCATTAATAGAGTTACTGTTAGAAGTGCATAAATGTGACCAGCCATGGTGAAACTCTCATTTGAGCTTCAAGGAGGATATGAGGATATCTTAGTCACAAACAGGCCAACTTTCTCATAATAAGACAGAAAAAAAAAACCACACACATTGTTATTTCTGTGACTGTATCTACCTAAGTGCACTATGATCATTTTAATAAAAATATTTTGTAAATACACTCTTAATAAAAACTTCATGTTCTGACAAAACAGAGTTGGATACTCAGATTTTCCCATAAATAAAAATGACCTGAATTCTTGGCTGTGATGAATTGTAATTCATACACAGGGAGCAGTAGGAGCATCCGATGACCCCTGAGTTCTAGATATTATAAGATTATCCTAATCCAAACAAGGATTTCCAGGGTTCTTTACCACTACATAAAACCTCAATCATTAACCCACAGATTACCAGTGTTAAAAGGACTTCAAGTCTTCTGGAGAAGAATCAATACAAAAAAGATGAAATACTTTATTCAAGATCCCCTCCATACCTGTGAACTGTATGAAATCTAAAACTTTAGTTTCCCCACAGCATCTGTTCTGTTCTCTGTTGGAGTCAAGTGCCTTCTGATGTTTGAAGTCTTCAAGCTCTCTAGATTTATTTCTCAGCATTTCTTTCGTCAGGGAGTTGGTACTTTGCAGGGTATAATACTGTTGAGTGAGGTTGTTTAGAGTTTTCTGAAGTTCATGTTTGCTTCCACTATACTGAGAAACTAAAATTAATAGCATATATAACACCAAAAAATGCTCATATGAAATAAGTATTAAAATCTAAGATTAGAGAAAAAACTTCATTTTTATACCAACATATGTCATTACTTAATTTGTACTTTAAAGTTAAGAAATTAACATATCAATTGACTATAGAAATTGAAATATCAACTTCTCTATGTCAGTAGATAGACTATAGTTCTATCAGCAATTTCAATATAAAATAAACGATAGGTGTACAGCTGAAGGAAACTGTAGTGGAAACACCATACCTCCCAATTACCTCACATTTTAACACCACAAAACTTACAAATAAAAAACTAAGTAAAACATTCAGTGAACACTTAACACAACATGAAAATGTGAATGAAGACGCATTAAGAAATGATACAGTTCTCACCGGAGTCTTTGGAAAGCATAATATCCATACATGTAGCTGTGTTTTAGCCCAGACTGAGAGTGAGTTTCTCTAAATACTTGACAAAATCAAAAAAGCTCAGGCTTTAATGTCTCTGTACAAAGGAGGTATTTTCATCTAACAGTATCCTTAACATACACAGAGTAAAATAAATAAATGCTCTCATTTCTTTTGCACATCTGTTTCTCACAGAATGCTTACTACATTTACATAAGATTCACAATCACCCTCAGGAGATTGACTATCACAAAGTTCTCAGTAGGCAAACTGCCACCACGTCGTCAAAAGGAATATGACCAAAACTGAGACAAAATGAGGCAGCTCCTAACAGCCACAGAGTTAATAGGATAGGTATGTAAGAGAACCGGATACTGTAGCATCAGAAAGAAAACATTCAATGTCCAGAACTATGTGGCATATCCCCTATTATAGACAGGACAATGGACAGTGTTAATGGCATAAGTAGTGTCTAAAGTTATTACTTAGGCAGAAAGGCAAAGAAGATGTTTATCAGTTACTCACCATATGCCACCAACACTGTGACGGCCACCAGAAGGGAACAAAGGATTCCCAGAGATATTGCAATGAGGTACCTGGGGACTACACACTCTTAAATAAACAAAACAAAGCAAGAAAATTATCACCATGAAAAGAGCACATCCTTTAGCTAATTATAATTTTGCATAACATGGCCTCTAAAAATTTTACAGAAGTCCATCTTACAACCTGACTGAACATGTGCTTTCTAAATTGTAGATCTCTCCCTAAAATTTACCTACTGTAGAGATGTTACATTTGCGAAATTTCACAGGATTTCAAACTTGTTTTCACCTTTAGCTTTGTATTCTCAATTCTCTGTCTCAGCCTAGAAGCAGCTGGATGGCAGACATGTGCCCTTCCTTCCCCAGTTCTACAGGATCAAAAGTGCATCCTTCAAAAGTCACTGGAAGGACAGACACAGTCCAAGTAGAAGACCCCAAACTGGAGCGAGCAGTCCACCAAGTGAGCATAACTGAGGATGAGGAGGAAGGAAAGAGGGTTGATGTTCTTGAGAACTGTAGAGAAGCTTGGTAGATGGGAGCTGATCTGTACACAGGCTCATTCTTAAAGGAGCCTAAATTTAACTCTCTCCTTTCTTTCCTTAAATCCAATCTTCTTCAGAGAATACTGAACACTTTTGTGTATCTGAGGTTTTGGAAACAAGAAGCCATGCAGCTGATTATCACCTGGTAAAAGAAGTAAAGACTCTCAGCTGGAGTCAATTTGTGACAGTGTGAGCAGACTGCGTACAGAAAAAAAATAATAATAATAGAGCCGGGCAGTGGTGGCTCATGTCTTTCATTCCAGCACTCGGGAGACAGAGGCAGGTAGATCTCTGTGAGATCGAGGCCAGCCTGGTAGACAGAGAGAGTTCCAATGGAGGCTCCAAAACTACAGAAAAACCCTGTCTTGAAAAACAACAAAAGAAGAAAGGAAAAAGAAAATAAAGACTCCTGCTTTTTATTAATGAACTTAATTTTCTTCAACATTTCTTTAAATGCAGTATGATTTAGTCCTACCCACCCTCACTACCCTCTCCTATCCTCCTCCTCCTCTGCAGCCTTCTACCCAAGAGACTTTCTCATCTGATGGACTATTGTTGCTGCTTCATTGTATTAGATCTTGGGAATGCTTCAGACAGTTAAAGCACCTTATGTTAGAGTGAAAGTATTACTTCTAATCCATGCATTTCATTTCTTTGAGATTCGGTACTCTAGAACATTTGGCTTTCTTCAGACTGCAGTTTGTCTGCTATTTTTAAAAGTTTCAGAATTTTTCTTCACTAAACTAAATTAAAACCTCTTAATTTTTTTTTTCAAATTTGACAGAAAGTATTAACTTCTCACTACTTGATTCTCAAGAACTTTTGCTTATTGATTTCTATTGTTCTACTTCGCCAATAACTAATGAGAAGTAGAGGTAGAGTTGCATTTTTTCAGTCTATCTGTTTTTATATTTTAAAATTGACTACTATATTTTTTAACTTATGTTTGAACAGTTTTGTACATGATGACTTTGCCACTCCCACTCACCTCCCTTCTACTCTTGTGTAGCCCAACTGTTTTCAATAGAAGCCAGTAGGATATTGTTTTCAAATGTCAAAAGTTACAAGGCATAAAAACCAAGTGAATTTAAATGTTTAAAACATTTACCTCTGTGAACAGTTCCTCTCGGCTCTTGAATCTCATCCTTCGTTCCTCTGGTCTGCAATTTTGAAGACTTACCAAATCTCACAGTTGTGTAAGTGATCTCTTCATCACTCATCTTGATAGTAAGTAAGGTATGCTTTGCTTTAAAGCCTGACCTTGAGTGATTTCTAAAGAAAAAGTTAAAATTTCCACCATTAGGAAGATACCTGGATCTGATGCTGCAGTGTGATAGGAAGGGGTGGAATCTGATTAACTTCTATAGCAATCCAAACATCCTAATAGGGACTGACCTTGAATTCTACTAGAGGTGAGAAGTCTTTGAAGATTTCTATTAAAGTCATTTATATTGCTTTTAGTCACAGTAATTATTATCAGAAAATACAGAATGAATTTAAAATATACTAATAAGTTATTGTAATATTGGCACAGCCTATGTGTTCAAAATATTCAACAAATATAGAAATGTTAGAAAAAATTGGTACCACTGAAAAAAATCATTGAAAAACTTTAACACTAACAATTCAAATAACAAAAAGTCAAAGATTTCTGAATAAATAATTGCTTTTAGCTGTGAGCCTAGCCTTTAAGCACAGGACCTTTCCCTGGCACTTAGCTGGCTTTTAGTAATCTGTTCCCCATGCTGGGTTAACTGTCCATTTCTCAAAGACATGAGGGGAGGAACTCGGTCTTGACTTAACTAGATAAGCCATGATTTAAGCAAGCCCATGGGAGGCCTGTCCTTTTCTGAAAGGAGAGGGAGGAGGAGTGGATGTGGTGGTAGAATGGGAAAGGGGAGAGAAAGGAGGGGAAACTGATTGGTATGTAAAATAAAAGAAAAACTACTATTTAAATAAGAAAACAAATAAAATTTTCTTTAGATTTAGTTACATATTTTGATAAAAGCACAAGTATAAAAATGTTCTTACTGGTTTTTAAATTGTACATGGTTCTCAGTGTATCCGAAAAACCACCCAAAAACAGTATTTAAACCAAGGACAATGGCACTGGGTTTTGCTCCTACTGTATGTAATGACTTTGTGGGAGCCTAGTCTGTTTGGATGTTCACCTTCCTAGTACTGGATGGAGGGGGGAGGATCTTGGACTTCCCATAGGGCAGGGAACCCTGACTGCTCTTTGAACTGGAGAGGGAGGGGAAGGGAATGAGGGTAGCTGGACGGAAATGGGAGGAGGTGGAAATTTTTAATTAAATAATATAAATAAATAAAAAAGGAAAAAAAAGTATTTAATGATTAATCCTGATGATGATTAACGTTTTGGGCTACAAGACACATATATATTTTTGGGTTAAAGCCCAAACCTGAGCTGTCCAACCAATCCGCCCATCAATGGTCTATACATTCATCTCCAGGATCAGACCTGGTAAATATAAGAAAGTAGAGATGATCCTACTGAGCGGAGTAACCGAGACCCAGAAAAACAAATGCCACAGTGTTTTTCGTATCTGTGGCTCCTGTCTGAAAGTCTTCAGACATGCTACAAAATCCGAAGTAACTGCAGCAACCAGGAAGGTGGAAAGGGACATTGGAAGGGTGGTGTGTGGAAACAATAGAGAGAAGCATAGCAGGATAAAACCTGGAGTTTAAATGTCAAATCATTTCATGTACACAATAATTTCACATGTTATATTCCAGTATATAATGTTGCCGGACAAGCCTGCATGAAAATAAATTTTGTCATTACGCTGCAGTCGTTAATGCCCATAATGGAATCAATTCTCTCATTCCACTTTTATGTTTGTTTTAAGGATACAACTCAGGCAGTCAGTCAGGCATGTGTAGCGTATGTTACACACGGAGCCATCTTACCTGGCTCCTATTATGACTTCTTCAAGATAAATAATATATAAATATTTGGTGCAGTTAAAGAGTAGTAAACTCCATAGATCCCTCCACCTTATTTTCTTAGCACACAGAAGTCTCTTCCCACTCAGAAAGAAAATAACTAGTGCTGAACTCCAGTTTTCACTTGCTGCCTGAGTCAACCAGATCTAACCCAGGCAATAGGGCTTCCCAATCAATCCTGCTCTCAAGTCAAACCATGTGAAATTCTCTAGAGGACAAAAGATCATGTGATAGAAATAAAACAAAAGCAGCAGTTACCTGTGAATCTGATTAAGTAAACCAAGCCCTGCAAGTGAGGGACAAGTTGAACTTTCCTCCCCGACAAGGTCCTCCCAGAGCTCCAAGAGAAAAGGCAGAACTGAAATGCCTCTGAATGATACTCAAGCTCATGATTGTCAGCCCCTCCTCCTTACAGAAACTGTAAAGAGGAAACTGCATGATGAAAGCTGATGCTGACAGAAAGGAAAGAACCAACATATCATGTCAGATGCTGCAAATCATATCCATAATCAATATTTAAAAGCTAAGGTGAACATACCTGTGAGGGAGTGAAACCAGTGTCCTTAGCAAAACCAGTAGTAAAGAGAAGTGACTGATATTCCTCCACTCTTAATTTTATAAAAGGCTGTTGGAAAATTTTTCTTTTGCAACTATTGGAAAAAAATGTATTTCTTGTTTTTTAATTATGTTTATTATAGCTGAAATATGTTTTAAGATTCCTTTAAAGCGCTCACTTTAAAATCACTCCGCTGTGAAACTCTTGCTGTATATTCTTTTTTGCTTTTCATTCATAGAGAATGTTTACTGGGAATGTTGATGTCATTTTGTACGGAGGAGATTTTTGGGGGTTTTTTGTTGTTTTTATTTATTTATTGCTTTTGTTTGTTTGTTTGTTTGTTTGTTTTCTGACTCTTTGAGACAGGCTTTCTCTGGTTAACTGTTCTAGCGGTCCTGGAACTCACTTTGGTTTTTTTTGTTTGTTTGTTTGTTTGTTTCTTTCTTTCTTTCTTTCTTTCTTTCTTTCTTTTTCTTTTCAGTTTTTTGGGACAGAGTTTCTCTGTAGCTTTGGAGCCTATCCTGGAACTAATTCTTATAGACCCGGCTGGCATTAAACTTACAGAGATCCACCTACCTCTGTCCCCTGAGTGCTGGGATTAAAGATGTACTCCACCACCACACCTGGAACTCACTTTGTAAACCAAGCTGGCCTTGAACTCACAGAGATTCAACTGCCTCTAACTCTGAGATTAAAGGCACTTGTCACCACTTCCAGGCCCATCTAGAGAAGTTTTATTCATGGTACTGGGACATCAAATCTAAGACACTGAGCATGCTAAGCAAATGCTTTATCACTTAGCTATAGACATAGACTCTTTGTTTTGTTTTGTTAGTTTTTTGATTGGTTAATAGTTTGGTTGTATTTTTTGAGACTGTTGTTATATTCATGCTATGTAGCACAATCTGACCTCAAATTCACAGTCCTCTCGATTTGTCTCTTCAGTGCTAGGATTATAGTTGCATAATACTGTACCAATTTATACCATGTTTTTGATTTATATTTTCTAATAATCAGTTCACATTTCTATATTTCATAAATATTGATATACAAGATTTTAAAGCAATATACAATTATCAATCAGTTTTACATGGCTTTAATTAGAAATATCTGCTGCTGATCATTCAAGTTGTTTTATAATAGTTTGTTGTTAGTTTAAAAACATGTAATATACTTTAAAAAATACTTAGACATTTTATTCATGAAGTAAAGGAATTAAAGTAGATATACTTTTAAGGAACTCTGGTATAGATTATAATACTCCCGCTTGTTAAGTTATATAGTCTATCATTTAGTATACACAATATTCACAATTGATAATTTTAGAAATGAAATAAGGTGGATTTTTCTTCTATGTGAGTTTTGCTTTTGGTTTTGTGAATGATGATTTCTGGAAAGAAATTGTGTCAGCAAAGACAAACACTGATTAAAACTACAATGCAATAGAGAGGTTGGAACGTTGTAGATTTAGGGGTTATTTACCTTATCACAGGCTATGTTTAGCCCCCTAAGTAGCCTTTTTTGTGCACTGTGTCAGAACTAACATCCTGTGACTAATAGATAAAAAATTTTTTTAATGATATCAGCTTAGCAAACCACTAAGTGCAACAACCTGAAAGCAAGGAACTTCATCTGATGACCTGTACAAAAGCTTCCATCTTTCTGTAACCACATCTCTGATGTGGCCACCAATGTATGCTGAATTTGCCTTGATGTATAACTTTCTCTGTTCTGATTTATTTAATGACACAAAGTAACTAACTCCAGATGTATAAATAAAGCCTTCCAGAATACTCAGAATTTAGATTCAATGTGAACTCAGAAGGGCCTGCATTTTAGCTTGCCACAAGCATGAGATTGTACCTGGAGAAACATGAGTGGAAATACCAATTAAGCACTCTGACTTCAGATAACTTCGATCATTCACAAAGTCTTTGACTATAGCAATAGAAAAGTAGAACTTCTTTTCAGGCTTGCTGTGATTATTTAACAAGATATTAAAATGTTTTTTTGTTTAGTTTTCTTTGAGGCAGAGTCTCACTATGTACTCCTGGCTGGCCTGAAATTTGCTATGTAGAACTGGCTGTCCTCAAAATCATAGTGATTGCCTGACTCTGTTTAAAATTGTTGGGATTAAAGGTATGAGCCACCACATCAGCTTCACAAATAAAAATTTTAATCATAAACTGGAAATGGATAGTAGGCTTTCATTCAACATGAAACATTATATTTAAAGTCCCAAATTCCAGTTGTTCCTTACCACATAAATTTGAGCAAAACACTGAATCTTCAAACCTGTTTTTTTTTTTTTTACATGGTTATCTAGAGAATGTGTCATCTACTCTCTAGGGTTGGAATAACGGCCATCAGGAATATAGACAGAAGCACTTAGATTTCTAAAGAACATTTTTTATGCTTTCTAGCCTGTGGAAACTTCTCTAAGCCACAGTACGGTCTACATTTTCTACCTGACCTTGTCAAAGGGTGAAGGTGTTTGGAAGAACAGGATAAAGATGGCAGATGAGCCAAAGAGAAGAACTGAGAGATCCACTGCTACTCTAGAAAATCCTTGTTGTTGCCATCAGATCCAGGCTTTTATGCCACACTCCCTCGGAAATGTTAATGGTGCTGAGACGCTTTTCCATCCTTATCTCAGCTGAGAGGTTGTCATACCTACCACTGGGACTAACCACATGCAGGGCATGTTTCCTTATGTTTTCTACATATTGTATGCCTCCTCTAACATCAG